TGACATATAAAAAATAAAACCCGATTTTTATATTTAAATAACAAATATTTAATTCCAAAAAATTTATTTAAACAAATTTCAATTTTTTAGTTATGAATTCCCAAAATGTTTAGATCAAAAAACAAAATAATTATCATCCAAACATTAAATATTTTATATATATAAACACAACTAAAATTTTCATATACAAAAGAATAATGAATGACTTTGATATATAAGTTAAAAAGGGGTTGTTGTGTTGTTATGAGATAAACTTCTTTATTTTTAAACATTCCAATATAAAAATGCGAATTGGAAGTGTAGTATTGATAATAAAAAAAAGATAACAGATAGAATAAAAACAATTGAAAAATTGTTTAACAAACTTAGTGAAATTATACAAAAGAAAAAAACTCAACAATAAGTATTACACTTCTTTACACCATTTAAGGCTTTTTTAAAATTTTAACATTGAAATTATTAATGATAAAACAATATAATAAAGCAAAATAATCAACTTGAATATCAAGTCACTCAACAAAAAATTTGAACTAAATAGAGAATAATTTGACAAGATGATTAACTCAAACATTAAAATTAATATATATATAGAACTTTATTTGACAAACAAATTAATTATTTTGAAATAAAGAAATATTTAGACGTAAAAGCTTAAAAGAATATTAATACCAAAAACAAGAACATTTGTACCATTTTTTTAAAGTATCCATTGAAAATATTACAGGTAAAAAATGATTCTTTTATTTTCATATTTCAGAATTTATATGTTCTGATCATATTTTTGTCGATTAAAATACTTATACAGTGTATAATTGTAAGTAGTATAATTAAGATTTAGATGTAACTTGTGAATAAAACATTTAAATTTTTAAATGTTTATTATTATTGACGATGTAATTAATTGAAAATGTATTATTATTAATGTATTAAAAGGTTATTTATAATAATAAGAAAACAACAAATCAACAATGTAATCGATAAATAATATCCAAGAGACTAGTTCCTTTCTTTTCTTCAACAATCTTTTCTTTTTCTTTTTTCGTATTTTTTTATTTTATTTCACATTTATAATATTATAATATTATAAACAGAAGCGCTTATACCTCTATAATTTGTTGTTTGGACTGTTATTTTATGCCGTATAAGCGCTATTGATTTATTTATTAATTATTTAGTCTTTTATTCAGTCCATTTTTATGTATACAACAAAGAGGGACTTTTTTATAACAATAAAAAAGTCACTGTGGCATATTCACGGGATATATTTTTCAATTACATTGTTTGCCGACTCAGTTTGAGCCGGCTTCTCTTACTTGCATTCTAATGGATCAATACCTTTAATGTTTTTTAAATAGAAGAAACAACCTTTGTTCTGATAATTGTGATGCTTTACTAACCAAATGGGGATGCGCTTTTTTCCTTTTAATATAGATTAAATAAAAGATTGCTTTTTCAATTTTGTCTCTCATTCATTGTGGCGCATTTGATGTTGTTGGATGTAATTTAAATTGTATTTAATTTAGTCATTGGTTTTGCATAAATAAATCATCAATTGTCAACGACTTATCACGAGTAAAAATAAACATTTTCATTGATTGTAACCTTTTGATAATGATACTGTTGATAATGTTAGTTGTAAATATTGTATGTTTTCATCCTATTTGTTGTTTTAATATTGTACGACATAGAATTCATAAGCTTTTGAAATGTAAGATAAATTCCTTGATATAACCCCATTTGGTTTGATAGATACTCGTTTAAGATAGTAATGTAGTCTACTCCATTTCATTGTTGTTGAATTGTTGTTTCTGATTATCAAATTCTAGCTTTATATATTGTTTATTTTTTCTATTTTTAATTATCGTGTTTTTTTATTAACAAATACCACATTATTCTATTAATACAGTGTTGGAATACAAGAAATTTGGATCTTTGTGTGCCATCTCTCAACTTCTTTCGAGGTTTAATAGTGTATTCGATAAACATTATTTGTTTTATTATTATTATTAAAATAAAAACAAACAATTATCGAATAAAAATTGTATCGGCTGTGCTTTAATCTTAAAAATAATCAAAACAACGCCAATGTGTCTCTATTGTCATTGTTGTCCTAATATTAATATTGTATTTTAATTGAATAATAAAATCAACTTGTTTTTAAATAAATAAATTATAGGTATTTTTAAAAAATAAAAAAACTTTTCATTTTATTTTCGAAATAAACACTTTAAAATTTATATATATAAATGGTATATAAATAAATTACAAAAACACCCAATTGCAACAACAATTGGGGTTTTTTGTAATTTCATCATCGTCAAAAATTAAGCATTTTCTATTTAAAACTATGTTATAATTGTTTTAAAATAATTTAAAGTATAAGTTAGTTTGTATTTTTAAATCCAAAATTAACTGTTATTCAAAAAGTCATAAAAATAAAAAATTGTCAAGAGTTATTTGCTAAATGTTGTCTAGTCTGGAACGTTGTTTGCTGATTTTAGACCATTATAAATGAAATATTTAGGGATTTTTTCGGAAAACCCAAAAATTGTTGTTTCAATATTATTCTTGTTTTTTTTCATTTATACCTAATTCCCGTTTTTTGAAACAAAAATCAATTATTTTTTTGTTAAAAAGACAAAGTTTGGGGAACAGACAACGTTTATCGACTGACTCTATCAAACAACAAATAAAGGTTCAAGAGTGTAATTTAATTTTTAAATTCAAAGAACTAAATTATTTATAAATCAAATTAAATTTGTTTTCAAAGTAAATTGACAAACCAATTAAAAAAGGTGGTTGAATGTTATTTTTAATTAATTTGGTTTTAATTTGGTTTGTTGTTTATTTTTATAAATATAAACTTTTGATTGTTTTTAATTTTATTGTGCATATCTATTATTAATTGTGTCTAAGTTTCTTGAATTTTTATTTGATTAAACCACAAAATAACAAATGATATTTTAAATAAAATAACCATTTTCATTATATGTTCAACTTTTTGACAAACCAATGTTTTTTAAGAAAAAAAATAAATAAATAATTTGTCTGTTTCTTTTTTTTTCTATAATTGGAATTATTTTACTCAACCAACACCAGTTATCAGTTTTGTTTTTTGTAAACAAATTAATAACCAAGTACTCAATTACTTAAAATTAATCAAAATTATTCTTTTGGATGACATAGTTATTTTTGATAAACAAAAAATTTATTAATTATAAGTCATAAGGTATTCAATTTATTGTCGAACCCTATATACCACATATGTATTTCTATTCAAACATTACTTTGAAATAATATATTTGTTCAGAACAATATCACGATCTGTTTATTTTATAACAAATGATATACATTTACACCGAACTGCTCACATGACAAAGAAGTCGCTTCATCTGCTTCAACATCAGTTAATGTGTACTGCGTCACTCAACAATGAATGAATATTATGGAGTGTTTTTTATATCAATAAGTATCTGTGTACTTAATAAAGAGACTAGATTATAATATCAAAGAACATAAAAGAAAATGAATGTGTGTTTTTCTCCTCACTTTAATTAGATATATCAACTCAAACATTATCACAATTTCACACAATTAATAATAAAACGTTCTATCACAAAATAAAACCGATCCTATCAACTTAAATTTTAAACTATCAATTAGAATGAAATTGATCCTCCAATTCCAACAAAATTACCTCTGCCCTCATCTCTTCCGACTCTCATTCCCACTTTCGCCCGATCATTAATCTTATAATCCGCTCCAACAGTATACCCGACTTTTCCTCCATTTGCCTTATTAATTTCGGCATTCAAGTCCCATTTATCATTCGGCTTATAATTTGCCTTCACTCCATATGAATTGATCTTCTTTCCGTTTTCCTTCCCAAACTTTGCGTTACCTTCAATCCCAAATTTGTCATTAGGATTATACCCAGCGGCAATTTCAACACTTCTATCTCCTCCCCCAACCTTCGCGTTTCCTTTCACGTTGAACTTGTCGTTCTTATATTCCCCTCCAACACTCACCGTGTTTTTCTTATCTTTTCGATTGAAGTCGACATTGAAGTTAGTGTTCTCATTTGCCTTATAACTTCCTCCTATCCCAAACTCGTTCTGTCGTTTCCCGTCTCCTTTCGACGTCTTAAAATTTGTATGAATTTCGCTCTTCTCGTTCGGCTGATATTTCCCTTGAAAATCAACTGACCCACTCTTACTTTTACCGGTTTGAGATCGTTGCAAATCCAGTGTCGCCTGCACTTTTTTGCCGGTATATTCCGCCTTCAAGTTCCCTTCACTACTTTTATTCCCGTTTGTGTTCTTCCTCTTCGCTCCGCCCGAGACGGTCAATTTGTCGTTCACTTTGTACTTCCCATCAACACTCAAACTCTTCGTTTTGTCATTCCCATTTTTACCGGAACTCAAAGCACCGTTCACACTCAATTTGTCTCCGGTATAACTTCCTTTGACGTTCACTTCTTTAGAGGCGACGCCGTTTGTTTTGGAATACTTGCCGTTGGCACCTATTGTGACTTTGTCCGTCGGTCTGTATGTCACTCCACCGGTGATACTCTTCGACTTCGTTTGGACACTTTTGCTGCTTGAAACTTTCACATTGGCGTCGAGCTTTTTGGAGGTGTAATCAGCGGAAGCAGACAGGTCGCGACTCTTTTGACCATTTTGCTTTGTGAAGGATCCGTCCGTCGACAGTTTGAGATTGTCTGTGGGTTTGTACGTTGCGGAGTATTTCAAGTTCTTAGTCTTTGAATTTGGACTCTTGTTTTGTGTGTAGGATGTGGAGGCAGTCAGTTTCTTGGAAGTGTAATCTGCTCCGACTCCAAAACTCGAGGACCTTTGTCCATTGGTATTTGTTTTTTGTGCATTGCCATTCACTGAGAATTTGTCATTGAATTTGTATTTTCCATTAATCGACCCACTTGTCGTCTTTGTGCTGCCAGTTTTGGATTTGGTGTATTTGGCAGAGCCACTAAATTTGTCGGAGGTGTAATCTGCGCCAAGTCCAACTTGAGACGATTTCTGGCCATTGACTTTCGACTTCTGTGCGTTGGCATTCATCTTGAATTTGTCATTGAATTTGTAGCTCGCACTAACAGAACCACTGTTCGACTTTGTTGTCGGCGTTTTGGTCTTCGAGTAGTTTGCTTGCACATTGAGCTTCTTTCCTGTGTAACTTCCATCTGCAGAAAAGGTCTTTGATTTATCTCTTCCATTTTTAGTAACTGTTCCTAATGTATTAATAGCAACTTTACTATTTGGTTTATATGACAATTTTCGTGTTGTGGTTTTCTGGTACTTTCCATTGGCAAACCCTACTTGACTTGATATGTTACCCGAAATTTTCTTAGTTGTAGTAGACTGTGGACTTTTAACTTTTTTTACTTGAGCTTTTTTATTTGATTTGTTTTTTCGAATTACCTTTTTTGAGGTTTTTTTCTTTGACTGAGCAACTGGAGCACTTTGGGCTTTAACGTTGGAGACTTGGGTTGACTTCTTTGGCTTTGGGTCTTTTGCTAGAACCACAACGATTAGGAGTAGTAAAAGAGCTTTCATAATATAAACTCAATAGATCTTATAAGGGTTTTTTACATAGAAAATGGTGTTAATAAATCTGGAAAATTTATAGAAGAATCAAAGAAACAAATCAATGCAAATAATCCTTCGAATAAAATTCAGAAAAATAGATATTTAAAAAACAAATTTACTATAAACTTATAATTAATTTTATTATTATTATTAATTAAAATTGAATTGGAATTTTTTGATAATTTTCGCAGTATTTTTATTGTCCAGTTTTTGTTTTGAGTGGGGTTAAAGAGTTTAGAAAGTTCTATTTATTTATTAGAAGTTCTTATTAATTCAAATTTAGTAGAATATAACAACAATCCCTAATATTTTATAAATTTATTAATCTATTTTAGTGTTAGAAAAGGTTTGTTTTGCCATTGTTTATATTGCATTTTTGTATAACTTTGTTTACTTGTGACTATTTTAAAATTAAAAAAAAATTGAATTACAAAATCATAATCAATAACAAATTCGAAAAATCTGGTGGTTATAACATTTTTTATATTATAATTATTATAATTATTAATAATATTATAATAATTCTAATAATTATTATATAAATTGGTTTAATTAAACTAGTTAAGTATTATAAAATGTTTAATATATGTGTTATACATTTAATTATTTTTGAACTATATAAACATTTATATAAAATTCAGACAATTCTAGGATTTTACCATGTTTTATAAACTGTTTTCATTCAATAATGACAAATAAAAAACTCATATATCACAATTATTTTTTATAATACATTTATGTGTTTTATCTATTAACGAAATAATTATATGTATTAAATTTCGGCATCTTCAATATGACTAAAGTGTTATTTGTTATTTTTGTAGTTTTTTTTAATGTGAAAAGGAAAAACAACAACTCCTTTAAAAGATAGAAGTACAAAAAGAATATATTGATTTATCGCTCTTGACCACTTTTATAAACACTATATAAATTCACATTAGACATTATATCTTTTTAAAACGTTTTAAAAGTCATTGGCAAAATAATAAAAAAATCAAAAAATTTCTATGTTTGAACTTCAATGTAATTCAATTGAATTCAATTTAAACAAACTTTCTTTGTCAAGTGATATACAATTGAAGTTCAACAGTCTAGTGCTTTTCTCCTTAAATATTTACCTTTTTATTATAATATATATTATAATATTTAATTATTTTGTTTTTAAATTAATAACAGTCACAAAAAATTGTCATTTTGATTTTTTATCATTTTATCACTTTTATCACTTTCGCTTTTTTTGTTATAATATTTATTATATAATTATAATAACAATATCATATTTTATATTATTCGATACTAATTGCATAGTATAATTAAATATAATTTCAATCTTCTTAATTAACTAACAAACTAGTAAGTATTAATTATTAAACTAATAAAATAGAAAAGATTATTCCAAAGCCTTTTGAAGAGACAAAAAATTCGCAACGATCTTCTCGAACTCATTGTCAGTGGTGGCTTTAAATTGATTAAACTCGTTCTGAAGAGCTTCATATGTCATTGTTAAATTCTGGTTTTCTGTAATCATTTTGTTTATAGTGTTTGTTGTTGTTGTCAAGTCATTTGATGTGGCTTCCAAGTCATTAACTCGTTTTTTGAGTAATTCGTTCTCAGTGTTTTTTTCTTGAATTGTATTGTTGAGTGACGTCACCAGTTTTTGCAATTCTTCATTTTTAGATGAAAGATTTTGCAACTCAATGGCTTTGGTATCACTGCTAGAAACAACTTGGCGCAAAGTCAATAACTCGGCTTCTAAGCTCTCTACAGTGGCACTAATTTCTTTTAAACTGTTGCGATACATACTATTTTGTTCATACAATCGTTCTAATGATTTGTCGTTTGAAATTTGTGCACTTTGAGGGGTTCGCGTGATATTAGAATTGAATGGTGTGCCATATGGATTCATTTTTAATGAAATTTACGAATTTATAAATTTAATTTTTTTTATTCAAATTTTTTAATTCAAAATTTTTTACGAGTTGGCAAACTACAGTATTTCAATTCATTTAAACAACTCAGATAAAATAATATCAATCAAGTTAACTGGTTTAAAACATACAATTGGTGGTGTTTAAACTAATATAATTATTGTTATTTGCTTATAGTTGAGTATAATTCTTTTTAAATTAAATTGGTTTACATATCAAGTAAATTGATAATTTATATAATAAAATATAATGTTATTAATTCATTATAAAAATATTGAGTAAAATCTACTTGGTTTAAAACTGTTGGTATTTATTGTAATAAGTTTCCCACGACTACCAAATACAAACTACACAATAATATAATTAAATTTAAATGTAATTATTGTAAGTGATTGATAATTTAATAACTTCTAATGTATTTTATGTTAAACAAAGTGTAGATAATAAACAAGACTATAAATTAATAGTTTTATCGTCTTTTTTCAAAAAATTAAAGTAATTTGAATGTAAATTTTACATTAAAACCCATTTTACTTTAAAAACATAATTAACTTACTCCAAATTGAATTTAAATTACATTTCAAATGAAACTTAAAATAAACATATAATTTCATATATTCGATTTAAAAACTACACACAGAACGCTTATTAAAACTTAAAATTACAATTTATAACACAATAGAATGGAGAGTTATAGTAAATGGACAGACCAGGAAAGTAACAACAATCCATTTTATATGGAAATTAAATTTAAGAGTATGAAAATTATTTTAGGGATAATACTCGTTCCCATTCGACTTGTTTGTGGAATTTTTATTGTGTTTTTTAATATAGAAATACATGAAATACTTGATACAGAATTTAACTCAATTTCATTTAACAGCATGTTACTAACACTGCTTGGATATTTTAAAATAGACACCGAGTTTGTCATTGTATTTACAACTGTATATATTATTTCAATGAAATAACACAATAAAATACAATATACCTTTTTAAATAATAACAAATTGTTATTATATACAAGATCATTTTTATAGTTCACTTGTTGAATATTATAATATTAACAAAATAGTAATTCAACAAAAGAACTGAACAATTAATAA